CACACCACTGCAAACGCCACAGCAAGGCTTCACACTCAATGCACACAGGGCTGGAGCTGCTCCCTGCCATGGGTCAGCCCCTTTGGGACCGGACACAGCACGCACAGCCCGGCACCCGGACGGCCCGTCTACCTCGCATTGAGAGAGCCCTGGCTGAGGGTGTCCGCCTCGCCCAGGAGTTCGTCCTCGCTGTGATAATACATCTCGTCCTCTTCCTCCCTGAGGGCAGCGACAGGGACATGTCACCCCTTTGCTTTCTCATCCAGGCCTCGGGGCAGCGCTAGCAGCAGTGCAGCCATCGGGGCTCAGGCAGTGGGGGAGATGCCAGGGAAGGGGTGGGCTCCCCTGCACTGGAGGTGTTCGAGGAGAGGGTGGGAGACAATTTAGGAGCAGTGATGCCTGTGCTCTGCTAGGAGGGTTTCCCAGGCGTCTGGGTTTTGCTGCATGTGGCTGGGAAGGAATTCGTCCCCCCATCCTATTGCAGTAGGTTGCAAAGGGGTGTTTTTCACCATCCTCAGGGGTGCCGGCTGCAGCCCAAGCTGGGGATGGTGAGCAGGCTGTGCCAATGCTTCTGCCAGAGGATCCTGGCTAGAGTCGAGTCCTCCTGCTCAGGGCCACATCAATCATCACATTTGGGATTAAGGAGGGATTTCCCCCTCTGCTCAGACTGGTACAGACTTGGAGGGGGGGAGGTTGCTTTCCTCTAGCCGGGGCACGGCCTCTACCTGGGCTTTTTTGTGCATCTATTAACAACCTTTGCAGCAGCAGGATGTTGGCAGCCACAGTCCCCCGCTCTCCCTGGCGCAGGGGCAGGTGTGATGCCCGGTGCTGTGTCAGAGCTGATGGTAGTTTTGCTAAGAGTTTATAGATGATGGATTTGTCCAGGGTGGTTTGCACAGGGCTGATCCTGCCCCAGGCAGGGGCTGGACTAGATGGGACCTCTGCAGCTCCCTGCCCGCCCCACTTCTGTAGGACTGTCTGCTTCCAAGAGCAAGGGCAGGGGACCCAGATGTAGACAGATGGCAGAGCCACAGCACCCAACACCACTAAATCATTCTGGGTTTGGAGCAATTTCCCAAAAGCAGTCGCTAGAGGGCCCAGGAAGCACAGCACATGAGGACAAACCCAGCCGGATGATCACAGCTGACTGGTTCCTGCAGGGCCAGAAGTCGCAGTGCTATGGATGCTGCAGGAGATGAAATATCTTCACCCGATTTCTGGTTAGTGCGCAGGGCCCTTTTCACTCGCCACTGAAATGCAGCCACTTCTGGGCCCGAGCAGGGCAGCTGTTCACTGCAATGCTGGGGACCAAGCTGGAGTGGGGTCACGGAGACACAGCATTCAACTTCAAGCTTAAATTTGCTCAGGGCCTTGGGAATAATAACCTGTATTTCTTCAGGGAAACCCCTGAGAGAGCCCCAGCTCCATCCTCTTTGCTGTGGAGAAATCCCCCTCTCTCTGCCTCCCGCTCGGGACCATCCAGGTGACCCCCGTATTTCCTGGGTTTCGTCATGGTCCTGGCTGGTCGGTCAGGTGACCTCGGCAGGTAAAATTCGAGGGAGGGGGAACCTGCTCCTCCTTTTGTCTCAGTTTCCCACCTCTGCCGGTCATGTGACTAGCCATCACACCTGGTAAGGGGTGATGTCATTTGGAAGCACTGCTCAGCAGCCAGTGGGGCTGCTGCTCGCCAGGACTATAGTGATGAGGTCACGACACGGGTATATAGGGTTCCTTCTTCCTGGAAGGAGGTGTTTTTGGGGCGCAGCCAGTGAGCCATGCGGCCTCCAGAGCAGGCGCCATCAGTCTCAGGAGGGAACTGGAAACCGAGCCAGTAATTTAGGACTGAGCGCTCTAGACGACTATCAAAAGGGCTAAACAAACCCATACTGATTTGCTCAAGGTAGTTCCCCTTTCGATATTCTGTGGTTGTTATTCTTGCCCCACCCCATCCCTCTTTCATCAATAAATCTGTTTGTCTAAGCACAGCTCGCAGGGTATGCTTAAAAGGGAAGGGAGCAGCCTTAGGGGACCGCTCCTCCTGTACAAGAGGCAGCTTGTGAATGCTTCAGGCTAAAAGAAGCACCCCAAAATCAAGGTCTGTGTACCCTGGGGGGTGGGGCACAGAGCCTGAGCAAAGACCAGACCCTGGGTGGTGGCAGCGGTTACCCCAGGCTTGCAGGTGTGCTCCAGGAAGCGGGTCGGCTAGATGTAGGTACCCCAGGGGAAGCACTCGAAATGGGGTTTTTAGTCGGGCATAGTAAGGTGGGTGGCTCAATACTGTCCGGCTACACCTGCAGGGAGGTGACGGCTGCTATTCAATCCCCCTCGGTCTTCTCTTCTGCAGACTCAATCAGCCCATTTCCCTCAGCCTCTCCTCACCAGTCCTGTCCCCCAGCCCCACAACCATTTTCATTGCCAGTTCTCCAACGTGTCCACATCCCTTCTGCAGTGGGGGCCCACAGCTGGACACAGGACTCCAGATGTGGCCTCCCCAGTGCTGAATAGAGGGAAGCATCACTGCCCTCAATCTGCTGGCAACGCTCCTACCGATGCAGCCCGGGATGCCGTTGGCCGTCTTGGCACCACGGGCACACTGCTGGCTCCTGTTCAGCTTCTTGTCCCCTGTCCCCCCAGGTCCTTTTGTGCAGAGCTGCTGCCCAGCCCGTCACCCCCAGCCTGCACCGGTGCAGGGGATTGCTCCCTCCTACGTGCAGGACTTTGCACTTGTCCTTGTTGAACCTCAGGAGATTTCTTTTGGTGCAGATTTCTTCCTAATATTTAACATGAGATTTTTTCCTAGTATCTAACCTCAACTTGCCTTGCTGCAACTTGAGCCCATTGCTCCTTGTTCTGTCATCTGCCCCCACTGAGAACAGCCCAGCTCCATCCTCTTTGCAACCGCCTTGCAGGTAGCTGAACACTGCTATTACACACATTGACTACAAGCATCAACTTCCATCCCTAATTGGCTTTCCATGCCACTGAAATGCAGCCAGCTCCAGGGCAGAGCCAAAGGGCAAACAGCAAGAAAGACCCAGCGCTCTGGAGGGAAAGGGAATTTTGATCTTGAGCAAACATACCTTTGCTTATAAAAAGTGCCCTTGTATTTTTTAAGTCTTCATGGAGCAGATAGGAGTCTCATTTATAAGGCCTCCTCTGTACAGCTGATGCCTTGTAAATGATATCTTGATCCTGCCAGAGTTTAAACTGGCTTCTGAAGGGAGCTCAGCGCATAAATCCAAAAGCCAGGCTGCTAAAGCACTAGCTGTAGTTACCCAATGTGCAGGCATGGCAAACAACCATGCAATCTCCCTTTTAAATCCATTAGCATCTTCCCTGCACGCTAAAATCACAGCACATTGAGCTGGGAAGCTGATCTATGGTTTCAATTAAGCTGGAAATCCACAGTCTACAGCCCAATTTGCACAGTAATTTAGCCACTCGCCTGAACACGGGGAGTCTCGAGGATTCTCATCCTTCAGCTGTGAGCTGCTGAGATGGGGAGACTATCTTTTTGTGGGGGGAGTGAAATGCAGAGGATTTAGATGCCTGGAGGAAAACTGTTATTGCCAGAGCACATGCTGCGGGAAGGAGCATGCAAAGCAAATGGGATATGCCAGATTGGCTTCCTCCCATCAGCCCAGCAAACTGCGGAGATTTGAAATGTCTTTGTACATGACATGGTTTTGACACTATAAACCAGGTAGGCTCTGTGTTGCAGAGGAAGCCTATTGCCTGTCTCGTTTGGGGCAAGAGCTGTGAATGCCGGGGGCATCCCTGGGTAACAACCCTGTGTCTATCGCACAGCTCTGAATCTCCAGGCTCGTCGCAGCTCCTCTCAGGAAACCTTGATGAGTTGTATGGGACGGGAAAGCCTTCCCCCCTTGAATGCATATTTCAGATCCTGCATCCCTTCCACCGTGGTGAGCGAGGCATGATCCAGATGGTGACTGTGGAGTCACTTTGGATTGAAGCCAATGGAAATGAGAACACATCTGGTTTGGAGCATCTGGGACTAAGACAAAAGACGCTCCTGGCTAGAGGGCCTTGCTCTGCCACTCAGGATCCAAATCCGGGGTCAGGAAATTCCCTGTTGCTGCTACCAGTGCCCGCGTCTCCCTCCTGCCGGCGCCCCGGGACGTTCTGCATTTATCAGCGGAGCTCCCGCTCCCTCCCCAGACACGGCTGCATGTCAGTGGCACGGTGACCCATTGGCTACCCACCTCCATGACACTATGTGGCTCTTCAGGACACAAGACGCTCTACAGAAATGCAGAATAGTATCCATCCCACCCAAAAAAAGAGGCCTGATCAACAGCCAGTGCGTATTCCCCCAGCTAAGTTGTCTTATCAGACATCCCGTGCCCAATGCAAACCTCCGCAGCACAAAATGCCCGGGTCCAGGAGGCTGGGTGACGGGTCTGTAGGACATCTCCAGCCCCTACCGCGGTGGGGTCTGCCTCTTCCAGTTCACTCCACGCCTGTTCTCAAGGGGCGATAACAGCCTACTCTCCCAATCGCTGCTGAATGACCGCTTTGCACAATATTTGTTGCATATCCACCAGCGAGATGTAGACTGGCATTGCGGTTCTCACCTTGAAACCCAAGCGGCGGGCATTATAAATATACCGTGGACCTCTGGGGTCTCTTCAAGCCTATGTATACCACCCCCAATCCACAGCTGCCACAGCACGCCAGCCTGCGCTGCATGAGAGCAGCTCATGACCCTGCATTTCCCTGTTCCATCTAATACTGCAGTTTTTGCTGCTTGATTTGCAAACTGCAATTACCCCCCAACCTTCCTCTCTCTCTCTCCGGGGTATGGGTATGCACGGAGTTTGCAACGGTAGCAGATGGGACCATATATGCAATAGAGCCTCGGTGGCGCCCAACTTTGGAAAGTGAGGCACGGTAAGAAGGGCACCGGGGCACGTTACCTCCGGAAGCTCCTCTCCGCCGACTTGCTGGGGGGCCCCGAGGTGCCGTGCCGGTGGCCGGAGATCAGGCTGTCGGTGTCCAGGGCGTACCTGCCCTCGCTCTCCGAGCGGCTGTGCGGGCTCTCCAGGAACTCCCCGTCGCTCCACGTGCCCACCGTGCCGTCCATGGCCTGGTATCGGATCTCTATGGAGACGCTGGTCTGAAAGGCAAGCCAAACACACACGTGGGACTCACGAGGACGGGCCGGGAGGTTCACTCAGGACTGCAGGGAGCACTCGTGCCCTGCAACATGGGTCCATATATCCCCCTCACATTACCCTAGCACTAAGCCCCTTGGTTTGGCATTGCTACTTGGTTAGAGCAGGTGGGTCTCCAGTCGTTCTGCATCACGCATATGAGACCCGACCGGACCCGACCCTTTCCCATGGGTAGTGTGTCCCAAGAGACAGTCAATGTCATGATTAATATATATATATATATGACATTGTCCTTGGAATGGCTCTGCCTTTAGACCCAGCGTGTGGTTATTTTCTTCCTGCCGTTGTCCTCTAGGTGGAAGAGGTTCTTTGGGTAAATGTGGTATCTTTTATTAGACCAACTAAATAACAATAAATGATATTACGTTTACCCCAAAAACCTTATCTGCCTATGTCCTTAGACCAACACAGCTGCAACCGACACCCCCAATATATTCATACGCAGCGTTCCCTTGCTTTGGAAGTGCTTGGACTTCATAACCAAGTTGCACACATTTCACCAGCCAAATACACAGAGCTGTGGAAACCTTATGTTCTTATATCTCTCTCTGTAAGATATTCTCCCTCTCTCATGTTCATGGCCGGGTGTTTTTTTTTTGCACCTTCCATTTTCAACCTTCATTTCGAAGTCTTTGCACCAGAGCTAGCTGTGATATTAGTATCAGACTGGAGAATGATGTGTGCAGAGGTGAAATCCTCACCCTTTCCCTAGCCATTACTCCCCCATGTATAGATTCAAAGGTGGCATCGGGCCCTGTTGTCACTGCATCGGGATTTCTCCTTGAGTTACAACATGTCTTTTAAAGAGGTAGCCAGTCTCGATTTTAAAGACAAGTCAAACCACAGGGCATCTACCCAGATGCAAAGACACATCATGGACGCACTTACACGTGCGCATTAGCCTATTTTGATGTGCATTAAAATGTCAAAAAAGGGGTGCTTTTGCTAGTGTGCATTAAAATAAGTGAATGCACCTCTTCTAGTGCCTCACAATGGAGGTACTACATTTAATGTGCATTACCAAAAGCTCATTAATGAACATGTAGGCGCACCCACAGAAAGTGCCTTTGATCTCCTGGTTCTCAGAACATTCGACAGATGTTAAAATAGCCTCCAGCTAGAAACCACCAAAGCTGTCCTGCCCAAAAAGAGATTTTTTAGAACAAGAAATCAATTTTTTTCCACTTTCTAACTGGAACTTAGGATCATAGGATGATGGGAAAGTCAGGCTGGAAGAGACCTCACAAGGTCATCTAGCCCAGCCCCTTGCTCAAGGCAGGGTTATCCCCGATTAAACCAGCTGAGTGTCTGTCTCACCGGCTCTTGAAAACTTCCAAGGATGGAGATGCCACAGCTCCTCTAGCTGCCCGTTCCCATGCCCGTCCACCCGTACAGTCAGCAAGTCCCTTCTCCTCTCCAGTCTCAATCTCCCCTGCTACATCTTGAGGCCCTTGCTCCTAGTCCTGTCCCCTGTGGCCACAGAGAAAAGCCCATCTCCACCCTCTCTATCTATCATTGCACTTCAGGGATTTGCAAACTGTGATCAAATCCCCCCTCAATCGTCCCAATTATTCCACTCCAAGTGCAGGACTTTGCACTTGTCCTTGTTGATTGACTATGCACCACGTCTCCAGCCTGTGCAAGTCATTCTGGATCCCAGCCCTACTCTCCAGAGTATCTGCATCTCCATCCAACGTGGTGTCATCCATGGAAAATATCCATTGATGAGCAATTTTTGAGGATTTGGGCTGAAAAGCCAAGAACTCAAAAAATAGGTAAAAAATATTATAAAACTTTCTCTTTCTTTCTCTAATACTTCCCTGGGAAGTATAATGCCCAGGCAAGGCGTACCTGTACCCCTAGAAGACTGGAAAACACCTCAGAGTTATATAAGACTTTGGTTGTTGGCTGACCAAACAGAAGGTTAAGTGGTGGCTCAATCAGTCTATATACAAAACTGGGCGAAACCTTTGGATTCACCAAAAAAAAAGAAGCAGATGTGGGTGAATCAAAACTTTCCATCAACGGGTTTCGAATTCACCAGATTGGAAGAAAAAAAATGAGAAAACACTTGAAAAAGTCAAAACGGCTTGATTCTGTTGTAAGGCACCGTTTTATCTTGAAGTTTACTTACATTGAAATGTAATGACTTAAATTACCAAAAAAAAAAAAAAAGATTTCTGAAATGAAAATGAAACATTTTGAATGAAACAAAAAAAAAATAATGATGTTTCGGGTCAAAAGAAAAGTTGCATTCGACCTGAAATGAATTCCAACCTCCTCCCTGCTTTGAGATTTACCCGGTGAACCAGGAAAGTATTTGTCCGCCTGGTGCCGTTAATTGGCACCTTGTTGCAGAAGAGAAATTTGATAAAGGCAGGCCTGTCACGGGAACTAGCATGAGAACAACAAATTCAGCAAGAGAGGGCACGATTTTTTAGCAGTGAAGTTAATTAATTAGCAGATCCAGGCATCAAGGGACATGATAGTCTCCTTCACTGGAAATATTTAAATTAAGCTGGGTTATATATATTTTTTTTTACTAGAAGAGATGCTCTGTTTCAAACAGGCATTAATTCAGGGAAATCCTGGCACCTATTTATATAGGCGGTCACAGGGGATGGTTGTTACAGTTCCTTCTGGATTTATAATCCGAAAAGCTATTCAGCTCCTCAGCAAGGCAAGCCACTGACATCATTAGGGCCGGCCAAAACATGCCAATTATATTTTGCAAGACAATTTTAACTGGAAAAGAATCCCGTATTGTTTTTGAATGCAAACCTCCACCCCCTCAAAACCCTAAACTAAAGCTTGAATAATTTAAGTTTGCAAAATCTGCTTCTTGTAAAAGAAAAAGAATGGCTTTCAGGAAAATGCTGCAGGGTTTTGCAGGGATTGTCTTTGGTTTGCAAAAAAGCCCATTATTTTTTTTCCCCATTTTTTGCAACTCAGTGCTTTCGTGGGTTTGTTTGGGTTGCTTTTCCATTGCAAAGCTGGGAAGTGGTGACCGTCAAAAACATTCTGTGCCGGCTAAAAGCATTTATACAAAATAATGTTGGCTGCCTCAAATCCTAGAGCCGTGGGGCTGGACGGGAGCTCCAGAGGTCATGTCTAGTCCAAACACGACCTGAGGCAGGCTCAGCCCTGTCCACACCAGCCCAGACACACCCATAATCACAGAAATCACAGAAATCATTGAAATCCTAGAGCATTAGGGCTGGACAGGAGCTCCAGAGGTCACGTCTAGTCCAACACCTGCCTGAGCAGGGGCCGGGAGACAGCTCCGGGGGCCGGTTTGTCTTCTCTGGCTTTTGAGGTTGCCATGGATACTGCATGGGAACGGGGGAGTCTAAAACCCTGCCCCCCCCACAACACATACACACAGACTAATAATTGGGAGGTGAACTTGGAGAGAAGAGGATGTCTTCGTCCTGCAAACACACTCTGCAAGGACACTGTAAGTGTTCCCACCACCTGAATACATGTGAGCAGGCATGTGTGTGTGTGTCTACACGCACACCCACTCACCATCACACCCACACACACATACACCCACAGAGCGTACGTGAATCCTACAACCCAGGGAGTTAAATAAGTAGGGGGAGATGTGGGAGTTTAAAAATCTCTCACCCTTTATGCCTGCCCCATCTTTATAGCACGCCGACACTAGTATACAAAGCAGAGGATTAAAACAGGGCTTTCCATTTAATTGCAAAGATCTGATGAATCAATGCAGTGATTTATATGGCTCCATTTTACAGAGCAGGTCACTGAGGCACAGAGTAACACGTGGCAAATCGACTACTTCGTCCCGGTTCCCAAGGTGGCAGAGACTCCTCTAGGCAGAGATTCAGAGCTTCTTCATGCAGAAGGGAGTCTTTGATCAGCTAGTCTGTCCTCTGGTATACTATGCCCCTGGGATTCAGACTGCTACCCCTGCATTGGGTAAACCTTCCAGGCAGGCCCCCGGCTTGCATCCGAAGCCATGAGGCCCAGGTCATTGGTTTAATTGCAAATAATTGTTATAAACCCTGCCATAAACTCTTATTTCCCATCTGGATTTGCTGGGCTTTACCTTCCAGCCACTGGCTCTTGCGGGGCAGCTCTGCCCTGCATTAAAAAGCCCTTTGGTACCTGAGAAAATCTTCCTGCGAAGGTCCAGGTGTGTTTTCATCCCACCTCCTCAGGGTCCGAGGGAGGCTCGGCACCTAGAGCACTTGTACACATGATGAAATTGCCCTTTTTCTGGTTTAAATACGGCACAGATTACACATATGGGTTGGGTTTTTTTAATGCTATTCTGCTCCACCCTGCTCAACTCCCTGAGAAACTGCATTCAGTTGCTGGAGTAAAACCTGGCCCTGGACCAGTTTGCTGGGTGCCCATGTTGGTCTCACCAGAGCATAAATTCCCCTAAGCCCTGGTCATCACGTTGGCTATTAGCTCCCTGCGGCAGTAGGTTGTTTCCTCCCTGCTAAGCACAGCAAACAGCTGCTTTTTTTGTGGTTTTGAGGAACACCGCACACCTGGGGGAGTTACTATAGATATCAAAATGTCAAGCTGCGGGTAAGGAGCTCAGCCATCAAAGCCGGCCGTGTAGCCTTGGAAACAGCAGCTGCATGCGTCTGAGAAGTGTATGCTGGCATACAGAGCTAGCTGAGGCTGGTGTGAAGCCCCGAGGGGCTTTCCCCTGGCATCAGCTGGTGGTGGGGACGTCTACTAAAAACACCGGTGGCGGAAAACCGCGGGAGGGCCGGTCGCTGCCGGAGATGGCTGCAGCATTGGGATGGAGAAGACTTTGCACATCCTTATTCCCCACTCCAGAGGCGCTGGGTGCTGCTGCAGCCCTGGCTGGGGATGGGGACCGGGCTGTGCCAATGCTCCTGCTGGCACCAACCCCGCAGGGTCCTGGCTGGAGGTTGTGCCTCCGCTCAGGGTCAGACTGATGCTGCCTTTGGGGTCAGGAAGGAATTTCCCCTCCTGGTCAAACTGGTATGGACTGGGGGGTTTGGGGGGGGTTGTCATCCTCTTGTAGCGGCAGCACGGACTCTACCTGGGGTCTCTCGAGCGTATATTACCCCCCTTTGCAGCAGCAGGACTTTGGCCACCACGGTCCCCCTCCTTTCCCTCTAGCAGGTTTGTGCGTCATGTCCGATGCTGTGTCAGCGTGGACTGTGTGGCACTGCTAAGGGGTTAGACCATGGATCTGTGTGGGCTGGTTTGCACAGGGCTGATCCTGCCTCAGGCAGGGGTTGGACAAGATGCTCCCCTCCAGCCCCATTGCTCTGGGAGTCTACGATCTGAAAGTGTCACAGCAACGGGCACGAGGTCTGTCCACACTGCAGGGTGTGATTATGCACGTGGAGACCTGGCTCCGGTAGCCTGAAGCTCCCTAGCTCATGTCCCAGTCACCATCCAGATGGGGCAGCACCACAGGCTCCAAAATGCACCCAACAAGCTGGGTAGAGACCGATGTTTCATAGATTTCATAGACATTCAGGCTGGAAGGGACCTCGCAAGATCATCGAGTCCAGCCCCTTGCCCCAGGGCCAGGGAGTCTGCTGGGGTCAAATGATTCCTGCAAGATAAGCATCCAAATGCCTTTTGAATCAGTCCAGAGTAGATGCTTGCACCACCTCGGGGAGTGGGGAGTCTGTTCCAGACCTTGGACACTTGGACTGTAAAGAAGTTTTTCCTTCTGCTCAGTCTGAACTGACCTTCCTGGAGTTTGCAGCCATTGGACCTGGGGTGCCCTGGTGAACAACTGCGCTCCCAGATCCTGATGCACCCCATGATGTACTGATAGGCAGCCACCAAGTCCCCCCTGAGCCTTCTCTTCCCCAGGCTGAAGAGTCCCATGTCCCTCAGCCTCTCCTTGTAAGGTTTGCTCTCTTGGCCTTTGATCATGTGGGTGGCTCTCCTTTGGACTCTCTTGAGCTTATCCACATCTCTCCTCAACTGGGGGGCCCAAAACTGCATGCAGTTCTCCAGCTGTGGCCTCACCAAGGCCGAGTAAAGCAGGAGGATGACGTCCCTGGTTTTGCTTGAGATGCATCGGTAGATGCATGCCAGAGTTTGGTTTGCTTTGCCGGCCACAGCATGGCATTGGTGGCTCGTGTTCATCTGGTGGTCAATCAAGACCCCCAAGTCTCTTGTGGTCGTGGTGCTAGTGAGTGTAGCTGGTTGTTTTTCCCAAGGTGGAGCACCTTGCATTTCTGTACTTTAAATGCTATCGGGTTTTGGTCCGCCCACCTTGCGAGCCTGTCTAGGTCAGCCTGTATCCCCAGCCTGTCTTCTAGTGTGGCCGCCTCCCCGCATAGTTTAGTGTTGCCCACAAACTTTACCAGTCCGCATCTGACGCCCGAATCCAGATCATTAATGAAGATGTTGAAGAGTACCGGCCCAAGTACTGAGCCCTGGGGGGATGCTACTGGTCACCCTGCACCACAGCGATTTGCTCCCATCAACTAGCACTCGCTGGGTCCAGCCCTGGAGCCAGTTCCCCAGCCATAGGACTGTGAAAGGGTCGAGGCCGCAGCTCCCCAACTTAACCATGAGGACGTCATGGGAGACCAAGTCAAAGGCTTTCTTGAAAATCCAAATATATGACATCAACCTCGTCTCCCTTGTCCAGGCAACGCACCACCCGGTCAGAGAAGGAGATGAGGATGGTCGGGCAAGACCTGCCAGTCACAAACCGTGTTGGCTGCACTCAGAAAGTTGCCTTCCTTCAGCTTCTTACTGATGGATCCCTTAATGATTTTCTCCAGGATCTTTCCAGGGATGGACGTCAGGCCGATTGGCCTGTAGTTCCCTGGATCTTCCCTCCTTCCTTTTTGGAAGATCGGGACCACGCTGGCTCTTTTCCAGTCTTCCCGTGCCTCACCCAAGCACCACGAGTTCTCAAATATCTTCACCATAGGGAGCGCAATGATGTCCACCAGCTCCTTGAACAGCACCTGCGGACTTACGGATGTCGAGCCTTTTGAAGATCAGCGGCAATTACGGGCCCATCTCCCACTCCTTGGAAGCTGTGCGTCCTATCTGACAGCGTGACCCCTCGGGCGGGTGGGAAAGTGATGCAAAGTAATCGCTCAGGAGACTGACCTTTTCTTGGGCGCCAGACGTCAGCTGCCCTATCTGATGTCGCAGGGGGCCAACGTTGCCTTTGGTCTTTTTCCAACTTCCCGCATATCCGAAGAAGGACTTTTTGTTGTCCTTGATCCTGATGGCTAGTCTGAGCTCAGTTTTTGCCTTGGCTTTTCTGACCCGCTTTCTTCAGGTGCGGATAGTGCTGAGTAGTCCTCCTTGGTGACGATTCCCATTTTCCATGTGGTGTAGGCTTCTCTTTTAAGTTTTAGGAGATCCAAGAGTCCCTGTTGAGACAAGGGGGCTTTCCTGCCCGCTGACTGCATTCACACAGGATGCGATGGACTTCCCTTGCACTTTGAGGGTTGAGTTATTTAAGATCAACCATTCCTCGTGCACTCCCCTACCCCAGGGGCCATGGTCAATTAGTGCCTGACTGACCAGTCTCCTGAGCTTGTGACAGTCTGCCTTCCCAAAGCTGAGGACTTCTGTTTTACCGAGGGATTTGCTCGCCCATTGAATGGGGAAGGTGATCAGCTCATGGTCGCCGTCGCCAAGCTTCCCCTCGATCCTCAGACCAATCACCAGATCATCCCCTTTGGCCCGAACCAGATCCAGCAGTCGGCCCGTAGACCTCTTGCATTAGGTCGAGGTCATCGACCGGTCAGATTTGGCCAGAGGATGTCAGGGAAGTTGAAGCCCCCCATGACAATCATGACAATCGGGCGTCCAAAAGAAGAATCACCCGCCTCGATTACTTGGTGTCTTCTTTTGGATGCATTTGCTGGTGGCCGTCCATCCTCACATGCTCGTCCGGCTCTGCTGATGTGAGGGACTCGAAACGGCCGTGCAGCTCCAGGGTGGGGGTCACCCCGGTGCAGTGCCTCCCCCGGCCAAAGACTACCTCCATCCATGCAACCCCTGGCTGGACTTCACGGCGGACCTTTATTTTCACCACGGCATCGTCAGCCGTCGGCTGGAGCGCCTGCAAGTAGGTGTCTGGCTCCAGTCCTGCGCACCGCTGCACTGTTGCCCGGCGGTCCCTAATCTGGCCCACCTGGGCAGTCAGCCCACGCTGCCATGTCTACACTGGCAGCCAGAACCAAGAAAACCACTTTTGACCTAGCTCAGCAACGTCCACGCACATCGTGGTCACCGTACGGGCACCCCCAGTGTCTCCAGGGCCTTGGAGGGACTCCCTGAGCACTCAGCAAAAGTATTAACACTGGGGAAATGAGTGTCAGGGTTGCAAAGGGCAGACATGCTTATACATGCCCATCCCAGTCCCATCAGTGTAGGGCGAGGACAGCACCCTGTGTACCCCTTCCCGGCAGAGGCTGCCAGAGGGATGCATCGCTTACCCGAATAGCAGAGTTGTTGTCGTCTATTAATGTGTCCGTCACCTCCAGCTGCCCTTCCTCCACCACCTTCTGCAGGACCATCCGGAAAGTGCCAATAAGTCTGGGGAGAGAGTCGGAGAGGACATGAGAGGTAGGGAACCCGCTCCAGGCAGAGACCTCCACCTTCCCCGGTGCCCCAGGAGCCCAGCGCGCCTCTTCTTGGCAATAGGTTTGGTTTCCCTCTGCACCCATTCGCCTCCAGCAAGTCACAAGCTGCCTGAGCAGTAAAGAGCCCACGATGCCCCCTCCCTGCAAGCGGTGTCCAGACCCCTCCGAAATGACCCCAGCGGAGGCACGGTGCTGCAGGGTTGCTCCAGCCCTGATGCTCCCGGGACAACGCAAGTGCCCGGGCTCATTCAACGATGCTGGACAGACGCGATGCAGCGTGCTGGTCACTTGTGCAGCTCGTTGCTACAGGAGGGTGCAGCCAGGGTCAGAAAGGTGCTAGACACATTCACAGGGGACAGGTGTGCCCTCTGCCAGCCTGACACCAATGATGGCAGGACGGGGCTGACCAGGGATGGATCACTCCAGACTAAAGCATATCCCATGGAGCTGGCATCCAGCCCATTGGTAGTCCAGTGAGCTCCCAGATGTTGCCAGGGGTTAGGTGGGACATGGTCTGACTCACGCTGCGACTCGGGAACCAGCAGCGGGGAGGAGAGGATCCAGGCACACATATGTATCTTACTTACTGACTCGAGTTCTTTCTTTGCAAGCTTTCCAACCCTGACGAAGGGTGTTTGGGCCTGAAAGCTTGCAAAGAAATAATTTTTTTTACTACTATTTAGTTGGTCTAATTAAATATATCGCCTCTATCTATCCCAAAAGTTTTGTCTGCCTGGGTAGGCGTTTGCACACCTGACAGTGCCAATATAGTCGGGCACATCTGGAAGGATCTCGCGGCACCCTGGTTGAAAATCACTGCTCTAAAGCAACCGCTTCTGCCACTGTCAGAGATGGGGATACAGGAAAGATGGACCATATGGTGCAGCGCGGCACTGTTTAGGCTCTCATGAGTGATAAGAGACAGGTTTTTGGGCCCAAAACACCCTTCCTCAGGTCAGGCCATGAGCCTCAGCACAGGGAGGTCCTCGAACAGTCACTCAGTAGGAGTTGCATGATAAGAACCAAACCAGATTCAAGATGGAGCATAGCCTGTTCACACAGGGGATGCATGCTGCAGGTGTTGGGCAGGAGAGGACCAGCCCTGATGACCCAAAACTCATAGAAACCCTAGAGCCGTGGGGCTGAGAGGGAGCTGCAGAGGTCACATCTAGTGCATCCCCAGCCTGAGGCAGGATCAGCCCTGTGCAAACCAGCCTGGACGATTAACTCTGCATCAGACGACCGTCAACCCTGACACACACATATAAACCATCGTCTAAACTCTGCATGAGACTACAGACACCCCTGACACAACAGACATCACTCCCAAACCTGTCCCAGGGGGACCAGGGTGTGGCAGAAATGCCCCCGTCGGTGCCCCTCTCCAGAGATCTGTCTCAGCCAGCCCGAGAGGCTGCTGTTGAATCTCTCACAGCGGGGATCTCGCTCCTTGTCTGCAGACAAAAGCCTGGCGCCTGGGAGGCGATGCTCTGGTCACCTGGGCAGGGGGGGGAAGACCCGGCCCTGCGCGCGGGCCCAGGTAGCCAGGGATGCCATGCAGATTGGACGGTT